TGAGGATGATTGGTCGGTTAACTAATTAACTGATGCAATGAGGATGATTGGTCGGTTAACTAATTAACTGATGCAATGAGGATGATTGGTCGGTTAACTAATTAACTGATGCAATGAGGATGATTAGTCGGTTAACTAATTAACTGATGCAATGAGGATGATTAGTCGGTTAACTAATTAACTGATGCAATGAGGATGATTGGTCGGTTAACTAATTAAATGATGCAATGAGGAGGATTGGTCGGTTAACTAAATTTTTTTTTTTTTTTTTTTATCGATCACCTGCTGTGAATTCCAGTGGAAGGTCCCGGTTAATCGTCCGCTTGGACTTTTGGCTTTCACCTGGACCTGATGTTTGCGTGTACAACCGTTTTTCATTTCCCTGCCTCATGGGCAGCTGTACTCCGACTTCGAAGGAAGACGTCAGGCCTATTTCTAGGTTGACTGTGGCCATTGTTTTGTGTGGGTCGAGACGTTGCCTGATTTGTGTGGTGTCCACTTTGTCTCCTCCGCAGGTATTGCCCTCGGAGTACCCCTTTGGGGCAGCCCCCTGTGGAACAGTTAGCCCTCAAGGGAAGGCAGGGGCAGATCATGGGCATTCCCCGCCATCCAAGGAGGCTTCCATGCATGCAGAGCCGGCACATGGCGCTCTGATTCTGGGCTCACCCAAGGAATCGTCACGTCCTGCACATGCCTGCTTAACCTCACAATCGTATCAGGCCTCCCGCTCGACAGGGGCTGCGCCCTCTGGAAGTCAGCGGGGAGCAGCCCGTGGATTTTGGACTTTTGTGACTACACAGATAGGTACATTCTTTTTTTTTCTTCGCACGTTAGATTTCTTTGACGAGCCGTTAGCCCGACAGAATTTTACATCCTGCATCAGGCATATCGTTATCAGTTTTGTCCCAACACTCGGGCGAGTGGGGTCTTTGGGTGTGGACATTCAGTCTTTTTCAGTTCAATACAAATTTTGATGGTCAGATTTTGATCCGTATGATCTAGTTTTGTCGGACAATTAGGATGGTTGCTGTTGTGGTGTACCTCAGCGCGGTGTCGACGACACTAAGGGTTAACCGAGGATGTACATGAATGGCCAGCCTATGGATGGTTGCTGTTGTGGTGTACCTCAGCGCGGTGACGACGACACTGAGGGTTAACAGAGGATGTGCAGTGAACAATGTTCTCTTTACTCCGCAGTCTTTTAACCAAGGGTTGTAATTTTGGCTGTACGTTTGGCAAACCTACTCATGTTCCTAATGAGTTTTGATAACATTTTTCACCCAAGCGTTTGGGGGCGGGCTGATGAGAGCCACAAGGACACATCACCTCTGGGGGCCGCCGAACTCCGAGATCCCCTGACAGCTCTGTTAATGCTCATTTGAGACATTATCCGTGGCGCACGACGAGGACGTGCTGTAGGGGTCTTGCGTGAGGTTCCGTACAACCAGGATAGTTAAGGACTGGCGCCCGAGTGACGTACGGAGTATCTCCTTATACACATCATGTTGGACTTAACTTCCCCTCACGCCTGTGACATAAATCACCGCGCCACGGTTAACTAATTAACTAGTGCGATGATTGGTCGATTAACTAATTAATATATCAAATTATTTATTATACAGTAGACCTTACAATGCCTCTCAAAGCCCACCCCTCATATCCACATCATGAGAGGTGGTAGACAGGACAAAGTAGGGGATTGCTAGAACCGTGCATCAGGAGCTACTGCAATAGACACAAAGACCTTTCTAGAGGCTCTGGTTAAGTTGCGAAAAGCTAGCAATTAATTTATTATCACTACAAAGAATACAATTAGATTTAAATGGACTCACCTAATGGTATTCAACCAGCAAGAACCAGCTCCTTATATCTCCCTCAACATCCAAAGGGATACAAAAGGAAGGGAAGAAGAAGCAGAAGAGGAACAAGATCTTACAATAACAACAAACATAGACATTTCCTAAAGTTTATTTTCTTTTATTGTTCATTAAAACATGGATTGAGCAATGGATCATCATCATCTAGGGTCTTGTCAACTGGCACAGTTGATCATGCATCCACTAAATGGTTGATTTCTTCTTTTTTGCGTAAACTCAAGCAAAAGGTTTTGGTTGCTCATCCAGAACTTGAATGTTGCATACACATCCATTTTATAAATCTAGCTTATTTGTATGCAGAATGTTGGAATGTTGGTTCTTTGCCTCTCAGGCAGATACACTTCACCTTTGACTTGTTAGTTGCCTATTACGACATGCTTGTTAGGGAGTGATGGGTCTCGTCTTGTTTTCTCCAAGATAGGGGGTTGGGGAGCGGCATAACCTACATAGGAAAAGGTTGACAATTTGTACAGACACTTTTTGCTGCCTTTATATGTTCTTGATTATTATCAGGTATTTGTTAACCTCAGTTTGATTATTCTCTCAAGTACTCATATCTGTTATATAAATTATGCACACACAGCAAATATCACATAATTCTTCTTCTTCTTTTTCTGCTTCTAACCTCAAAAGGGTAGTTAACATATTGTATTGTGGTTTACAGTTAGGCTGCAATATCTGAACGTTTGAGCTCAGTAATCCTATTTCCTCTTATTTTGGTTCACCGGCTGTAAACGCCAGCAGAAAGTTCTGGTTGTTCATCCACTTCTGGATTTTGGTCTTGTCCAGAACTTGAATTTTGCATGCACATCCATTTTACAAATCTGCCTTATTTGTGTGCAGACTGTTGGTTCTTTGCTTCTCAGGTAGATATGCTCAGAATTCGAAGTAAACAGCCCAAATTAGTTGCCTTTTAAGACATGCTTGTTATGGGGCACTGGGACCATTTTTGTTTGCCCCACAGAGGGGCCCCAGAACCCACACAGGGATAACACTTGGTTGTTTTTGATGTAGTAATATGTTGTTGATTTTAATCATGTTATTATCCATGTAAGTAATAGAACATTTTGATCATTTCCTCATGTACTTCATTGTGTTTTATGAATTACACACACCAAAATACACAGCAAATATCTTACTTACTTACTTACTTACTTAGTCGCTCCTCTTCTACCTTGGGGTGTAGAGGTTTGCCAGAGAGATCGCCAGACGTCTCTATCAGCAGTTTTCTTTCTGGCTTTGTTCCATTCCACTCCTCTGTCAGTCAGGGACTGTCGGATGTTGTCTTCCCAGCGCACCCTGGGTCGTCCCGGAGGTCTGGTTCCCTGGTTCTTAGCCTCCCATGCTTGCCATGGTGGCCGATTTTCTCCCATTCTGCACACATGTCCAAACCATCGTAACTGTGACTGATCCACTCGGGTTAGTAAGGGCTGGGTATCAAGATCTTGACGTATTGTCTGATTGCGGACTTTGTCCCTTCTTGTCACTTGGACCACCTTTCTCAGGTATCTCATTTCCGAGGCCTGCAGCTGGCTTCTGTGAGCTGTTGTCATTGCCCATGACTCACACCCATAGGTCAGGACTGGTACATAGGTAGAGCGGTAAACAGCCATTTTCGTCCTCTTGCCAATGTCTCTTTTGCTAAGAAACCCTCGGTTTATGGCCTGGAAGAGTCTCCCAGCAGCTGCTTTTCGTGTAGCCAGCTCAGTCTTAATGCCTCCATTTTGGTCTAATACAACTCCAAGGTATTTGAACTGGTTAACCTGCTCCAACGCATACTGACCCATCATGATCTGGTGTTTCTTCTCCTCTCTTGAGATCACCATGGTTTTAGTTTTGGAGACACTGATGGTCATCCCTTTCTTTTCGAGCTCTTCCTTCCAGACAAGTAAGTTGGACTGAAGGTGTGCCTCTGATTTAGCTATCAGGGCCACATCGTCTGCAAAAGCCAGCTCTGATATACAGATTGGTCTCATCTTCCAGTACCCTACAGAGTACTTCTTTGTCTTCTCCTTACAGGTCTTGATGACATCATCCATCATAAGAATGAAGAGGTAAGGTGAGAGAATATCACCTTGTCTAACACCGCTGGTGGTCTTAAATTCTTCTGACTTTTGGTCTGCTGTTCTTACATAATTTCTGCACTTTTTGTAGAAACTCTGTATTGCACTGATCAGGGGTGCTGGGATGTTTTTCCCTGCCAAGCAGTCCCAGAGCTTGTTCCAGGGTACCTTGTCAAATGCCTTTTCCAGATCCAAAAAACATAAGTGAATCTCACTCTTATATTCCAGGGCTTTTTCACTCATCTGTCTCAGTGTGAAGATAAGGTCTTGAGTACTTCGGTTTGCTCTGAAGCCGCACTGGGCCTCGTCCAGCTGTGGCTCTACCAGACTTCTAAGTCTCTGCTCAAGAATTCTAGAGTAACTTTTACCGGGAATGCTGAGGAGGGATATGCCTCTGTGGTTTTCACATTGTCTGTTATCACCTTTTTTAAATATAGGTATAATGATGGCAATCTCCCAATCTTTTGGTATAGTTTTGCTACACCAGGCTGCCTGGAAAACCTTCAGTAGAAGGCGCTCACCTTCGACTCCCATATATTTGACCATCTCTGGTGTTATACCATCATGACCTGCTGCTTTTCCCAGCTTACACAGCAAATATCACTTACTAATTCTACAAGTTTTCAGTAAAGAGTTCTCTCTCTCCTACTCTCTCTCTCTCTCTCTCTCTCTCTATTTAGCAAACATCACACAATATTTATACACATGTTCAGAGATAAAATCTCTCTCTCTATATATATATATATCAATCAATCCTTCTCTCTGTCTCTCTCTCTCTCTCTCTCTCTCTCTCTCTCTCTCTCTCTCTCTCTCTCTCTCTCTCTCTCTCTCTCTCTCTCTCTCTCTCTCTCACTGTCTATTTTTCTCTCTGATTCAGCAATCATCACACAATATTTATACAAATGTCTAGAAATACACCCCTCACCCCTCCACTACCACTCTCTTTCCCTATTATAGCAAGCATCACACAATATTTATACCAATATTAAAACTCTCTCTCTCTCTCTCTCTCTCTCTCTCTCCCTCTCTCTCTCTGTTACGTCAAAAATAACACAATATGCTACAGATGTTCAGAGATTAGCTCCCTGGTTGGTCTTATCCATCTTCTGTTATTCTGCAGCATTTGTATGACCGTACGTAACTGAACTCTGTTTGCAGAAACATTAAAAAAAATATGTTAACAGATGTTGGAAAAATAAGTAATTAAAGCAAAATACTAACAACTTAATTTGTCTTAGGTGTTGCGAACGCGCTCGTTAATGCCGGGGTGCCAGGTTCGATACCAGCTGGGGGCCTTGCATTGGTTTCGACAGTGGTATCAAGAAGCTGACCATCCAAAAAGCCATGGCAAACTACTGGACATAAATTTGCCTAGAAAAACCACAACAGCAAAAAAAAAAATTCTGGGGTTGGTTCTGCAACGTCCTGTAAAAGATACGCAACAAACTTTTTTTTTTCATTCTTTTGTCTACTGTCTGTCTATCTCACTCCGTGTTAGTTTTCCCTTGTCTTTTAAATTAATTCATTCACTTGCCCACCCAACTATTCTTCTGTTCCTCCATCTCACTATATTACATTCATCCATCAGTTGTTTCACCCATCCTTTTATTCACAAATCCACTGATTTATTCTACTTATTCTTTTTAGTGTTCACCAACTGTAAACTCCAGTGGAAGGTTCTGGTTGTTCATCCACTGTTAGACTTTGGTCTTGTTCCAGAACTTGAGTTTTGCATGCACATCCATTTTTACAGACCTGGCTTATTTGTATGCAAACTTTGGTTCCATGCCTCTCAAGCAGATGCACTTCGACTTAGAAGAAAATGCTTCTAATCAGTCACCTTTTAGGACATGCTTGTTAGGCGGGGCAGTACGTCTATTTACTCCCACCCCCCTCCCACACCCACCAAAGTGAAGACCCAGAACCCACACAGAGACATTTATCCATTCATTCACCCATTTAGCAACCCATCCACCTACTTGCTGATCAGTTCACCATCTTTTTATACCCACCTACCAATCTATCATTCTATTCAAACATCCATACCTTTGTACATCTTTCTATCACTTGATCATAACATCATCCATTAATATCGTGATTACTTTTTTAATCAGTTCATTCAGAGACCAAGCCGGCCATTTATTCACTGATTTATATGTCATTCAGTTCATGAGTGCAGTTTTGACAGAGGATTGTCACCAGAAATACAGAGTTCATGCTTTCTGCTATGCTCTAGGCAGGCTGCTAGCCATTTTGCGAAGAGAGACTGAGCCACATGGGATAAAACCTGATGAAATAGTGGATCCTCTGAAGTTCAGTTTTAACTTTCATCCATTCAGCCGTTCAATTATTCATCCATCTATCCATCAGTTTGTCCATTCATATCTTTGTGTTATACCAAACTGAAGTATAAATATGTTCCCTAATAGACTGTTAAATATAAGTATCATCAGAATCTCTATATCTATCTCGCTCTTTCTCTCTCTCTCTCTTTCTCATATACAGTGTTTCTCTCTCTCTATCTCTGTGTCATACCCATGCATGCACACACACATATATAACTTTTGAGTTTCTCAGTCATGTTCAAGCACCATTCCAAACTATCACATTTGTGGCTGGGTTTACTGTCAATAAGCAGACAAGCTGAAAAATATTTACTCACAGCCAAGATTCAATTTTGTAAGAAGAAAGCAAAGAATATTGTGGAATGATAGAAAAACAAACATAGCATTCTTTTTTCAGACAGGTGAAAGTTGTATACTGACAAGAACAATTAGATGTAAAGAGTCTGTTATAAGAAGGAATGTACTCAAGAACTTGGTAAAGACTAGCAAGGCTGATGGAAAGAGAGTGCAGGAGAGACAACGAGATAAATAACTGAATGGCTTGGTCATATGAATGGTGCAAGTTGAGAACACTACCTACACATACTGCAACAGAAAATGATGATGATGTTGTATTGTTAATCAAAAATTACAAATGTCTCATCAACAAATAAAAGAAGTCAAAGCAACAAGAAAGAACTTACTCTAGGCACTTAAGAGTGTGCTCCTGCATGCTTAGTCGGTTCTTAATTGTTTGCATACTGAGTTCTGTGGACTTCAGATACTCCTTCATTCCCCGGACATCTTTGCTGATCTCATTCAGAAGCGGAGACTCCCATTTCTCCAGAACGCTGGCTGGGTTATTCAGTTCCTCCATCTGAAACAACACCTGCTCATCAGCTGTCTGAGCTCATCTCACACTGGTTAGTGCTGCTAGTCAATCCTCCTTCTTCTTCTTTGTGTTCATCACTTGTAAACTCCGGCAGAAATTTCTGGTTATTTGTCCACTTCTGGACTTTAGTATTGTTCCAGAACTTTAGTTTTGTGTGCCTGTCTGTTTTACAGATCTGGCACATTGTTGGTTCGTCACCTCTCAAAGAGATGCGCTCCAAATTTCAAAGGAAACGTCCTTAATTAGAGCCTTTTATAACATGCTTGTTAGAGGGGCAGGGGCTATTCTTCCTTCCCCACCCCCTTTCCTGACCACATCTGCCCTGTCATGTATCGATTCACCACCCAGTGTTGCAGATCCAGCCAATCTGTCGCCTGTTCATTCCCCACCACGCAGGCATGGCCTGGAGCAAAGATCTAAAGTATGCTCACTACCCGTGACCTTTCCAGTGAAGCTTGCCACTCTGCTCGAAGCATCCCTGTCTTCACCTTTCTCAGCATGCTTTCAGTCTGTTTCAATATGACATGTGTATGCATCTTGTTCTCTAGCCACAGGAAAGCTGTAGTTACCACCTCCACCTCCATTCTCTTGCTAGACGTGGGGGTATCATATACTAGGCTGTCCTGCACTAAAGATTTTCCATTGGCTTTTGCTATGAACCCCCAGGCACTTCTCTTCTTTCTCAAAACCTAACCATCTGTATAGATAATCAGATCATCTGAGCATGAATTGACCAGTTCGCCACTACATGCCAGTTGCCTATAAAATAATATGAGGACAATGTCATATACCCAGTAGATATCAAGTCATCAAAACAGTTTATTATATCTTTGTTCAATTATGTCAAAACAAACTGACGTCTAAATATTACAGCATTAAATTTACTTCTAAATACTGAAAACACAAAGTTACTTTTAAATATTAACTGAACAAATTTATCTTTAACCCTACCAGACCGCTGGCCCGATTTTTCGGGAATTTCTTAACCTGTTGCTAAACCGCTGTCCCTAATTTTCTGCTATTTATCTAGTACGTGAAAAAGATGCATTACAGACTAAAAATAACTAGCCAGTCGCAATGAGATCTTGTTGATAGTCTTCCTAGATGTCTGCCCGCATGTGTTTGAATTAAATTTGTGTTGTTTTACGTGAAAAAATTCTGAAAATTCAGAATAAAATGAGCGGCTGATGAACCAGGAAACAGGAAAGTGAAGTAGGTCTAGGCTTTTCACAGTCCAACAGGTGATTGATACTTTGGTTTATTCAGACTCTACGGAGTCATAATCTCATGAAAAATACGTTCACAGTTGAAGTGACACATTCAGCTTGAGTGAGAGGAGAATCTTGAAAAATTATAAATCTAGAAATAAATGGATGGTGAGAGAAGTGGGCATGTCCCTTAAACAGCAACATCTGGTGCTCACTTTGTGAAACAATTTTGATCTTGGCAAACAAAGGTGGAATATTGGCGCTAGATAAAAGATAAGCCTATTTTCTACAATGTCTCCAAGATTCATCTTTTTCTAGCCACTTGTTTGCATGTAACTAATATTTTTGTATATCATGTTGGTTTTTTCACGTTAATGCTCAGGAGCTCAGGTATAGGGGACAGTTAGGTTCAGGGCCTCAGGTCTGGTAGGGTTGAATAATGACAAGGTGAAATTACCTGTAAACAGCTTCAAATAATTAAATTCTAAAATAATTTAGTTATCGATATATATTTCTTCTTGTTCAGCATTCTGAGCCCTAGAGGTTCATTGCTACAGATATCACCCGCCTCCATTCATCTCTCTGATTGACCTTCTTTTTTTAGTTGGGGATACCAAGTGCTTGTAGGTCTGTCTGGATATTATCTCTCCATTGTCTTCTTGGTCTGCCTTGTGGTCTATGAGCATTCAGCTCCCTTGTGCATACAGTTTTACCTCTCTGTCATCTGACATTCTCTCAATATGCCCCAACCATTTCATCTCTTTTAGTTGTGCTTCAAGTTTCAGAGCCATATAAAACATCTAGACTCAACAACATTTTACAGAGATAGAGACTTTGACTTTAGCAGATGTTGTCTATAAATACTTACAAAACTAAAATACTTTGAAATAACCAAACACACAAATTACCTCTATTGATTAACAAACATATTCACCTCTAAATATTTTGAGGCTCTGTAACTTTTGCCAATGAAGAGTGAGTTGAGTTCCACCCTTGTGATGATCCAGGCTCTGTTCATCTCCAAGCCTCTATGGGCATCTTTCTGGACATTCTGGTAGGTGTCAGACAGCTGAGCGATCAAGATATTCAGCAGCACCACACAGCAGACAAACAAGTAGACCACTATTAGGAAGCAGCTCATCACCCTGTAACACAACAGGTCAGTTGTCAAGTACCCTCCTCTTCCTTCTTTGAACCAGCTCCTCATAGGAAAAAATTTTTTAAAATACCTCGGAATCGTTATTGCATCGGAAGACTGAACATGCTAGAAATGGCCAATGTGCAGTGGCATTGATTGTGAAAACATAACATCTTCTTTTTTTTTTTTCTTCTTCCTCTTTTTCTTCTTCTTCCTTTTCTTCTTATTCTGCAGCTTGTCATCGCCAAGTAGAGGATAGGCTCTTGACTAATGCATGTCAGCTCTCTTATCTTTAGATTTATTAGTTGGTTCAATTTTGTTCTATGGGAAACTGGAGCCGGTTGTGGCTCTGTTTGTTGGTAAATTAAAGTATGACAAGCTTGATGTGGTCAAGGCCCTTTGGGATTGAAAGAACAATTCTAAATCACAAACAGATCATCACAGCCTGAAAAGACTGGTGCAGAGAATCAGTGGATCTGGCTGACACTCAATGCTTAGAGGTCTCCGTGTGGGTTCCAGGGCCCCATTGTAGGGAAAACAAGAATAGACCCACTGCCTGACCAAAAGTATGTCGTAAGAGTCGACTAATTGGGAGCTTCCTTTGAAGTTGGAGTGCATCTGCCTGAGAGGCAAGGAACCACCAGTCTGCATTCAAGTGAATCAGATCTGTAAAACTGATGTACACGCAACACTCAGATTTTTTAGCAGGACTGCAGTCCAGAAGTGGACGAACAACCAGAACCTTCCGCCAGAGTGTACAGCTGGTGAACGCGAAGAAGAAGAATGCTTAGAGGGAAAAGCAATATGGACAAATAATCAAATCGGTATTGGTACCATTGGCACTGGAACTCTGCGCTGGCTCCTGTAGATGGGGATGGAGTCCCAACTTTAATGTCCTGAGTGCTGTGATGCTAGTTTTCAACTCAAGCGCCATGTCAGCATGATCAAGGACCAAGTCACATGCTAGTAAAACTCTTAGAGCACCTCTGTCTGGTTAGTGTCCTTTATAGAACCATGAAGATATGAAGACACATACTGGGCTTGCACACCCCAATGGTTAATGAACTTTGAGAAGGAATACAGACTCTATGGAGATGATGCTTTGGTACTAGATCAGGAGAAAACTCTCTGTCCCATCCTGTCTGACAGATGCAGACATGATCAAATTTAATGTCAATACTATGTGTTCATTTTGTCCTTTCTGAGTTCCTAATCCACACTCTTTCTCTCAGATACACACACACACATTCTTACTCATTTTTTTCCGGAACACACACACACACACAAACACACACACACTCACACATAAAGTGTCAAAGATACATTTAAATACACTAACAGATAGACACACAGAGATGGGCATACTCCTAAAATGTCTTATAATTAAAAAATAATGTATGTGATATTTAATAACCAAAAATTAACTGATAAGCACAAATATCCAATATCAAAACATTAAACAAATGGGTTGAACAAGATAAATTACTATTACAACTACACAGAGACAGACATCCACATGACTAAATACGAAAAAATTTACACAGCCAAGCGCGCATGCGCTTGCTCACACACATACACATGCAAGCACGCATACACGCACGCACACACACACACACACATAAATCTATGTAACATGAGCTAATTATTGATTGGTAACACCCCCCCCCCCTTTCTGTGGGTTCCTGGGGCCCTATTATGTGGGAACAAAAACAGACCCACTGTCCCCCAGATAAGGTGATTGGTAACATCTCCCTCTGTGGGTTCCTGGGGCTCTATTACGTGGGAACAAAAATAGACCCCTCTCCTCGATAGGGCGATTAATTAGGGGTGTTTCCTTCAGTTCCTGAGATATGAGGAACAGTGCATACAAAAAAGCTACATCTATCAAATGGATGTGCAAGCAACGCTAAATTCTGGAGCAAAACCAAAGTCCAGAAGTGGACAAACAACCAGAACTTTCTGCTGACGGTTACAACCGGTCAATGTTAAGAAGAAGAGATTACTGGCACGTTTATCTTTATTAATAGGATTACAAGTAATGATAATTAGATTTTTGGCAAGTATCTACATAAAATTACATTCTCACTGTCAGCCATACTCAGACTGAAAGACTTGGGAAGGTGCAAAATGAAACAATGCATATTATTCTGGGTTGCACAAGAGACACCTTAAATGTAGCAATGAGATACCTTCTTGACTTCCTTACCATGAACTACAGGCTTGCATATAACTCCGGATAAGCTCCAATCTTAAGCACCCTTTGCCCCACATGCTCTTCAGGAAAAAGGGCAATAAACTAAAAACGGGCAAAACATGGCCAGGTAGGACAGAGGATGACATCAAGAGGTTTGCAGGAATGAATACCACTGGGTAAAGCGCCCAATGTCACCTTCTCCTGTGTCATCACGCTTGATAGGAGTTACCAGTAGTTGTAATGGTGCTAAATATAGGAACAGAATGAGAGGTTTGATTGGTTAGTGGAATTAGGGAAGTTCCCAGGTTGCAAGGCACGAGGTCAGAATGGAAAAGGAAGATCACGAGATATGGTGAGTTTGCTTTAGCAACGCGAGACAACGGGGGTAAGAATAACTGGTCGTTCTGTGATCGGACCCCAGAGTGAAAGGAAGTGAAACTGGATTCAGAGTGATAGGCATGAACGCGGGTCTGGATGGAACCCGAATGAACATTAGTCCTGAACAGCAAGGAGTCAAGCGGTGTTGAATTACAGTTGAGGACAACAGTTGTGTTCTATGGCCTGTTGGTTGTGCCAGTCGTGTACATGCCAGCGTCCATTGTCTGAAGTTTTCAGCTTTAATGTTTATTCTTGTTGCTGTGTTATATTAACAATAAACCCGTCAATTGCTGTCAACCTTCGTCGACTATCATTTGGAGACGTAAGATAGTTGATCAGAAGAGAATTTTTGTCTCGTCTGTACTGTGACTCGTCTGTACTGTGATCCTGACCCCTAGACAACAGAGCTAGTGTCAAGTCTGTATGAGGGAGACTGAATACGGAGGAGACTTATTACAGCAGAATTCTATGCTGTCAACGCCGAGGTCTGCGAGCTTAGCAATGACAAGTCAGATGAGACAGATGTCCTGATCTTCGCAGATGGGTCTGTTATACGAGGATATAAGGGTGCATGGGCATATACAGCTTTCTCTGCAGGCAGAACAGTTCAAGAAGCCAGTGGTGCCTTCTCCATGACTACCAGCAGCATGATGATGGAGGTGATGGTGGTGACACAAGCCTCCATGTATGACACAAGGACTATTCCCGTGTGTGTGTGTGTGTGCTGAGTGATTCTTTGAGTTTGATACAAATCAAGGCAGGCTTGTTGCACAGACAGTGAACTGAGTCATTGCAAAACTCTCCTGTGTGTGCAGTAACATTTATATTTGTCCCAGGACATGCAGATGTTGTTGGCAATGAAAAAGCTTATAGACTGGCAGGTTCCGCATCAACCACAGATGGCCGGCTTATGGATCATGCAGACATTGTCAATGCCCTTAGAGAGATAGGATTTTGGAAGCAACATGTCCACATCACTGCTAAGAATATGAGTTTTGGGAGTAAAGATTGACACAGCCAAACATGAGAAACACACCGGATGCACACAAAGTCTTGTCAACCAGCATAGGACTGGCACTATTAACCACGTAACACTGATGAATATGTTGAAGAGGGAATCTGAGCACCTGTGGATTTGTCCAGAGTGCCGTGAAGATAAATCCAACTTATAACTTATATAATTACATCCCATTTCATACACATGCCTCACTTGTAGCCTTCCTTGCCTGCATAAGTGACTACTGACTGCCCTTCTATCAGAGTACGGACTCCAGTAAATAGAACATTCCAGAATGAACTGAAACAAAATATTAACAATATTAGCTTGTTGTAGAGCAATCCAGTGCAGCCAAACTAAACTTGCTGTGCAGTAACAGAAGATGCACATTGTAGCAGGAATGGAGTGGCTTTGTTGTATGATGTCCACTTCTTTAGCAGAGATGTGGCATTGTGTTAATGGTACCAACTTTAACAAAATAAGAAATGAGTGTATACTCTTCCCTTTTACCGCCTGTTATTGGCCAAAGTGGCCCATAGCTAGCTGACTGCTGATGCTCTGAAAAGTTGTTACCAGTTAGGTTTTGCTGGTGCAAATATCCTATTTCTGGACCAGGAATCTAAAAGTTCTGTTGCCCAGCTACTGAGCTTAGTGTCTTTTCTTGGTGTGAATTTCACGTTGAATGTTTTTTTTTTCTGTTGTACCTGCAGTGTGTTGTTAACCACACTAAAATTATGGGTGGCCAGTTATGTTCAGAATGGCATGTACTTTTATGGGCTTTCATGATTTACTGTTTGCACCAATAGTGAGCTGCAATTCTAGTGTAGAATCATTAGTATTGGCACATCTGACAGCTGCCTTATGCATTTTTATTTTGCATGTACAAGCTTCAAGATTTTGATGGGACTGACAAGTTTCTCTCTAGTTTTTCAAATAGAAAAGCAAAGCACATTTTGTGTGATTTCCACTAGCACAGACAAGGAGCAGATATGGAGTTGAATGAAGTCCGGTGAAGTTGGAACCTTGTATAATGACTGTCTGCTAATGATCCCTTGGCAAAATAAATAAATAACAACTGAATCTTTCTGATTTGTATGATGTCTTTCTGTGTCCTCTTTTCGGCTCTCCTTGCAGATCCGGACGAGGGTTGGACGACTTAGTTCAGTTGACTGGGAGTTCTCTCCCTTGGCCGCACTCGAAACAGTGAGCGGAAAAGTCACGAAACAAATGACATACTTACCTATCATCATACAGTTGCGTGTAAGGTTGCGTACGGTTGCTGTTAGGGTTGTGTAGTCATCATACGGTTACGTGAAGGGTTGCCTAGTCATCATACGGCTGCGTGTAGGGTTATACCTATCATCATACGGTTGCGTGTAGGGCTGCGTACGGTGTGGGTTCGGGGTTAGGGTTTAGGGTTAGGGTTAGGGGTTAGGGGTAGGCTTAGATGTGACAATATTGACGTAGGAGTTCCAAATACTGGCCGACAATCTGGTGCTTGTGGGAGTGGCGCCACTGGAAGTCTGTCAAATATGACCGCAATAGTGCGCAGCTGGTACCTAGCCGGTGGCGACGTGTCCGTGTCAGTAGAATCCACAGTCCGTCGACTGTTTGGGTGTGTATGTGACAGTGCGCGATTATTGGGAATTCCTGCGTCGTCAAAATTGTCACATCTAACGATAAACCTAACCCCTAACCCTACCCCTAACCCTAACTCCTAACCCTACCCCTAACCCTACCCCTAACCCTACCCGTAACCCCTAAACCTAACCAACACCCCTAACCCAAACCCTACGCAGCCCTACACGCAACAGCATGATGGACTACGCAACCCTACACGCAACCGTATGATGACTACGCAACCCTAAATGCAACCGTACGCAACCTTACACGCAACCGTATGATGATAGGTATGTCATTTGTTTCGTGACTTTTTCGCTCACTGTTTCAAGTGCGGCCAAGGGAGAGAACTCCCACTAAACTGAACTAAGTCGTCCAGCCCGCATCCAACCCTCGTCCGGATCTGCAAGGAGAGCCCTCTTTTCTTCATGCTGTGTGTAATAAGCCTGGTTTATGCCTCAGCCTCTCTTTTTTTTTAAAATGTAAAGTTACTGTCCAATAAATAATTGGCATTCTTTTGATAATCTTCATTTCTGAGATTTCAAAGGATTTGTTTTGCAATGTTACTGATTGTCTAGGATGACAGCAATATTTTCAAACTTGCAAGCAACATTAATTTCCAAGTATCATGCAGGAAGTCTTCGTCTCACCTTTACTGATAGTAAAAGCAGCAGTGATTTATAAAACAATATCCTATTCAACTCATCTGGATTATGAATGGGATACATAGTTTTCTTTTATTTTCTTTCTATTTCAACAATGGACATTTATGCTTGTAAATAACCTTTAGTTATGTAATCTTGTATAAATTTGTATTAATTGTAACAGGTTGTGACAGTATAGATTTTTTAGTCTTATACATGTTTTAATGTGCTTTTTAAATAATGGTAAAAAACTTATTTAGTGCTTATATATTCTACATATTCTTAAAGGCAAACTTTGTATCTACTATTCTGTGCTTTTTTTTAATTGTGTGATACATGTATTATATGATTGTATTCACGTGAATAAATACATTGACTACAGAAATAGGCGTCACCACTATAATGGATGCAATTTTTAGTTATTTTTAAGCCTCACCCTGGCTTTTGCCGGGGGCCCTTAATATAGCAGGGCCATAAATATGACCTAACGGCTGAACAGGGTTTCTGGGACCTCTCTACGGTACCTCTCTCTTATCCGCATGGTGGCACTTTGTGTCACCGGGTGTTTATTGCTTGTGTGATGTCCTGGTGGGGTACAACTTACCTATCTATTCATGTGAATAGATTTTGAGCTTCTGTATTTGCCACAAATTAATACTAATGACATTTTAAATGTATATTTAGGACATGTAATATCTGTATTCTGATTGGTTCGAAGTGCAAAAGGGGGTGAGGCAGGGTCACAAACTTTGAATATCTAGGCTCTATAATAAACAACAATGGAGACTGTTTGATAGAAATTAAAAGCAGGATGGCCATAGCAATGCAAAGATTGAACAGCCTTAAAAGTCTACGGTTAAGCTCCAGCAAGGAGATAAAAATTAGAATTTTGAGAGCATGCATCTTCCCTGTGGCTACATACGGATGTGAGTCGTGGACCATCTCTCAGTCCTTAAGAAAGAGAATAGGGGCTTTTGAGCTGAAAAGCTATAGAAAGATTCTCAGAATATCTTGGACAAAGAAGATGAGAAATATTGACATCTTAAAAGATCTGAACATCAAGGAAGATTGGCTAATAAACAGCATCCTTTCTCGGAAGCTGAAATATTTTGGTCATATCAAGCGCCACGACGGATTGGAAAAAATTATAGCAGAAGGCATGGTACCAGGAAGGAGGGGCAGGGGCCGACCGACACGAAGATGGGCACAGGATATAAGTGACTCCTTGAGTATGAAAGTACATTAGGCGGGAGAACTGGCGAGAGAACAAGTTTCTTTTAGGCAGACTGTGATGAGAGCCACGTTCTGCAAAGGACCTGCTACATGATGATGATGAATATTTGTATATGAATGTTTCACAAGAAAAATGAATATAAAAATTTTACCTGGTTTCATCATGCACATCGAGAGAGTCTTCTCCTCGTAAAGCCAGGACGAATGACCCACTGAAGGACAGAAGTATCACCAAAAATAGAATGGTAAACTGAATGAAGTCATGGGATATGATTCTCCACAATATCTGAGCATATGCACCAGTTTGTCTGAAGTAAAAAAGAAACATTTGCAGGTAATTTCTAATTAAGGTTGAAAAAGATCAAAGACTATGTGCAGTGAGTAGTACATTCAACTTTTTATCACTTGTGTGCTTATTATATAATGTTTGAAGTCTTGACTGCAACATCTACAGACTTTAGCAAGTGATCCAGTTGACTCTGTTACTGTTTGTGGTTGCAGTAACAGTAATTTGAACTGGAGACAGTACTTCAGGATGTCTGGTCTGTAACAAATTCTATGGTAAACACTAATCGGTGTCATAAAGCATTTAAATTCACAGAAGAACACTTAGCAGTAGTAATTTAAACAATAATATTCTGTTCTTCTTCTTCTTCTTAGCGTTCACCAGCTGTAAATTCCAGCAGAAAGTTCTGGCTGTTCGTCCACCTCTGGACTTTAGTTTTGTTCTAGAACCTGAGTGTTGAGTGCATATTCGTTTAATAGATCTGACTTAACTATATGCAGATTGTTAGTTGCTCGCCTCTCAGGCAAAAGCACTCCAACTTGGAAGGAACCCCCCCCCCCCCCACTTCCCATTATGGGGCCCCAGAACCCATACGGGGAAATACTCTGTTCAATATATAAGGAGTCTAATTTGGAAAAATATAGTTTCTTTTTTGGGTGCAGGTACCATCTTGATCTGTAAAAAGAGAGTGACTTCCCTTCCCATTCATGCCTCATAGGTCGCAGGGCGTCTCCTATGTTATGGTTGTGTTATAATATGGCTTCGTTCAGCATTCGTTCGCCGCATATAATGTTTGGGTGGGAGGTTGTGTTGTCATGAGTCCCTTTGAGCTACCGCAGGCATCTGTATACAAGTAAGAAGTACTGCAGGGGAAGCGCCATAGGCGCTATGATTTATGAGTATCAGATTGAACATTTTTATATTTTAACGCTCGTTGAAGGTGGCTTTCCCTGAGACAAAGAAGGTACTGACAAGCGTAAAACATCGCAGTTTCCATAATCCTGAGCCATTGCACAAGTAGCAGAATGGGGGAGTAAATGGTTAAAATGTTGACAATAAGGAATACATGAAACCCCCACAACATAGAAAAGGTCATGCAACCCAAAGAGGTATGAATGGGAAGGGAAGTCACTCTCTGTTTTGCAGATCAAAGCAATACTTGTACCGTTTTTTTTTTTTTTTTTTTTTAATTTCAGTATTGCATGTTTATGTCTATCAATTACTTTTGGTTGTTTAATCAATAACTTTTTAATTTTAGCATTCTGTAGGATTAGAGTATGGGTTTTTTTTTAATTGGTATATGTTAGGTTTAAAATATTTTAGATAAACTTTTAAAATAATAATGATAATAGAGGGCCTAATATAACCTAACTGTTGAACAGGGTTTTTTGGAACTTGTGCACAGGTGATTCTTATCCAAATAGTGGCATTTTGTGTCATCAGGTGTTTATCGCTCACTGTGTGATCCTGGTGGAGTTGAACATTCATTCAACAATTATTTAGATCTGATCTATGGTGACATAATGCTCTTACCAAGACAGTGATCTGAGTTAGATCTAGGAGTGGCCAGATTGTTATGAATAGTACAACTTTGGGGTTGACTCAGGTTAAAACAAATGGAAATTGTCTGCAAGAAAGAAGGATGAGTAAAGGAACTGCTCCTAATTTGCCATGGCTTAGAATATGTGACAACCTAAGACTTCAAACACACTGACAACAGTATTAGTTGTGGGATTACCTTCACCTCTAGCTTTGTAACAATAATAACAACAACAAAAAATGGAGTAATAAATGGCACAAAGGTTTAGTTTAACTTTGAGGCTAGTTGAAAAGAATAACAAAAAAATCAATAGTATGTTAAATACTTGAAGCAGGAAAATGTCTAAAAACCTGAGTTTGTTGTAAACTTGAAGCCAGTAAAATGCCTATAAACCTGAATTTGTTGTATACTTAAACCCAGTAAATGCTTACAAACCTGAGTTGATTGTATACTTGAACCTAGAAAATGTCTATAAACCTGTGTTTGTTGTATACATTAACCCCAAAAACATCTACCAACCTGAACACAGCTGCAAATTTAAACACCCTGAGAGTCCACAACAAATAGCCAACAGAGTACACATGCCACTGCTCCTGGCGATGAGTGAATCTCAGCGGTACAACAGCCAGTAGCAGAAAGGAGGAGCCAAGATCAATCCAGTTAAACTGATCTCGCACATAATCCAACTTGTGTCTGAGAAAAAGATTGAAATTGCATACTTTATAAAATTCTCTTTTGGCTGTTAACTTTTAGATTGTTTAGCTGTCTGTCAGTGTTCCCCTGTGGGTTCTGGAGCCACTTTGTGGGGGAAACAAGAATAGACCCACTGCCTCCCCAAAAAGCATGTCATAGGAGTTGACTAATTGGGGCTTCCTTCGAAGTCAGAGTTCATCTGCCTGAGTGGCAAGGAACAACCAACTGCACACAAATAATCCAATAAAATGGGTATACATGCAAAGCTCAGGCTCTAGCACAAAGCCGAAGTCCAAATGGACAAACAGCCAGGACTTTCTGCTGAAGCTTACAGCCAGTAAACAAATAAGAAGAAGTCTGTCAGTGTTGCTATTTCTAGGAATAACCAGGGCTTTCTTCTAGTGGTACGCAATAGTACTCACTACTGGCCCCTTGATCAGGCACCACATTTTCAGTGCTGCTGTAATAGACAATTCAGGTGAGTATCTGCACATTTAAAGACATTTTGTAGTGAGTACCTGCAATTTTTTTTTTTAGACACTTGATAGTGAGTACTGGCACCATTTGTATCATAAACAGTGCTGGGAATAACAACAGATAAATTACTTTTATTTTTTGCTGTTTCTTTTTATAAATTATACAACTGGTAGCACAGCATACACTCATCATCCAACAAATGATTTATCTTGTCCAACAAGAAATTTAAAATAAATGAAACAAAGCTGAACTAGCTGACCTCAAAGAAACACTGTAACTGCATACACGTAATATTTATGTCCAGTTCAAACTAGTTAAGCAACATGCTGAAGACTGCATACATGTAATATTTATGTCCAGTTCAAACTAGTTAAGCAACATGCTGAAGACTGCATACACGTAATATTTATGTCCAGTGCAAACTAGTTAAGCAACACATTAAATTCTTCTTCTTCACTTCCTCTTTTACTGCTTCGTGTGTCAAGGGAAATAACATGTTCTGCTTCTTGCTCTTCCGGCCACCTAGACCACAGAAAAGTCATGCTGTTGTACAGTTTCTCTGATGTTATCTTTCCATCTCATTTTTGGTCTACTTTGTGATTTACGACCTTCTCCTTTTATAGTGTATACATTGTATAGTATGGGGTCACTAGTCTAAATAGGAAAAACATTTGATTTGCTTTCCCTGTGTGGTTTCCAGGATCCTATTGTGTGGAAAACAAGAACAGACCCACTGCCTCAACAACAAGCATGTTGTAGGAGTAGAAAAATTGGGCTTTGAAGTCAGAGTTCATCTGCTTGAGTCGCAATGAACAACCAACTGCACACAAATGAGCCAGTAAAATGGATGTACATGCAAAACTCAGGCCCTAGCACAAATCCAAAGTCTAAATGGCCGAACAACCAGGACTTTCTACCAGAGCTTACAGCCGATGAACAAAGAAGAAGATTTGCTGTCCTTGTGTGTAATTTATAATTGTTTCTGTGCTGGATTTTTCTCTAATGATCTTATTCCTGATTTTGTTTCTTCTGGTCACTCCTGCAGCCTTTGTCAAACATTTGATTTCCATAATTACTTGTTTTCTTTTCTGGTTTGTTGTGAGCGACCATGTTTGGCACTGGCAGCATTGGGTGGGAATAAATATGCTGTTAGGGACTGTCATGCTATAAGTGGAGGGCTACAGTCTTATGCTGTAAGTGGAGGGCTACTGTCTTATGCTGTAAGTGGAGGCCTACTGTCTTATGCTGTAAGTGGAGGCCTACTGTCTTATGCTGTAAGTGGAGGACTACTGTCTTATGCTGTAAGTGGAGGCCTACTGTCTTATGCTGTAAGTGGAGGGCTACAGTCTTATGCTGTAAGTGGAGGGCTACTGTCTTATGCTGTAAGTGGAGGCCTACTGTCTTATGCTGTAAGTGGAGGGCTACAGTCTTATGATGTAAGTGGAGGGCTACTGTCTTATGATGTAAGTGGAGGGCTACTGTCTTATGATGTAAGTGGAGGGCTACTGTCTTATGCTGTAAGTGGAGGGCTACAGTCTTATGATGTAAGTGGGGGGCTACAGTCTTATGATGTAAGTGGAGGGCTACTGTCTTATGATGTAAGTGGAGGGCTACAGTCTTATGATGTAAGTGGAGGGCTACTGTCTTATGCTGTAAGTGGAGGCCTACTGTCTTATGCTGTAAGTGGAGGACTACTGTCTTATGCTGTAAGTGGAGGACTACTGTCTTATGCTGTAAGTGGAGGGCTACTGTCTTATGCTGTAAGTGGAGGGCTACAGTCTTATGCTGTAAGTGGAGGGCTACAGTCTTATGCTGTAAGTGGAGGGCTACAGTCTTATGCTGTAAGTGGAGGGCTACAGTCTTATGCTGTAAGTGGAGGGCTACAGTCTTATGCTGTAAGTGGAGGGCTACAGTCTTATGATGTAAGTGGAGGGCTACTGTCTTATGATGTAAGTGGAGGGCTACAGTCTTATGATGTAAGTGGAGGGCTACAGTCTTATGCTGTAAGTGGAGGGCTACAGTCTTATGCTGTAAGTGGAGGGCTACTGTCTTATGCTGTAAGTGGAGGGCTACTGTCTTATGCTGTAAGTGGAGGGCTACAGTCTTATGCTGTAAGTGGAGGGCTACAGTCTTATGATGTAAGTGGAGGGCTACTGTCTTATGATGTAAGTGGAGGGCTACAGTCTTATGCTGTAAGTGGAGGGCTACTGTCTTATGCTGTAAGTGGAGGGCTACAGACTTATGCTGTAAGTGGAGGGCTACAGTCTTATGCTGTAAGTGGAGGGCTACTGTCTTATGATGTAAGTGGAGGGCTACAGTCTTATGATGTAAGTGGAGGGCTACTGTCTTATGATGTAAGTGGAGGGCTACAGTCTTATGATGTAAGTGGAGGGCTACTGTCTTATGCTGTAAGTGGGGGGCTACTGTCTTATGCTGTAAGTGGAGGGCTACAGTCTTATGATGTAAGTGGAGGGCTACTGTCCTATGCTGTAAGTGGGGGGCTACTGTCTTATGATGTAAGTGGAGGGCTACAGTCTTATGATGTAAGTGGAGGGCTACTGTCTTATGATGTAAGTGGAGGGCTACAGTCTTATGATGTAAGTGGAGGGCTACTGTCTTATGCTGTAAGTGGGGGGCTACTGTCTTATGCTGTAAGTGGAGGGCTACAGTCTTATGATGTAAGTGGAGGGCTACTGTCCTATGCTGTAAGTGGGGGGCTACTGTCTTATTCTGTAAGTGGAGGGCTACTGTCTTATGATGTAAGTGGAGGGCTATTTATAAAAATACTTGGTTTGTTTTACTTCATCAAATGATAATTTCTTCATTTTAATTTACCATCCTTGGTGAATGTTGCTGCTAGATATTTAAACTCAGATGCCAGTTTAGAGTTTTTGCACTCTACTGCAGTATTTAGGTTCTGCTTCTTTCTTCCTATTGACATTACTTCTGTCTTCTCGGTGACACTAAATTTGACCGCAGTTAATATTTATGTATTATTCAAACTAGCTGACTTAAAGAGCAACACCCAAAAGACTGACTGCAGGTAACATGTATGTCTAACTGAAACTCACTTTCTGAGCTGATTTATTTCAATTATACAAGTGACGATGACTGCAAGAAGTGACCAGACTTCAAACACAGCACGGGCTTTATGTAGAGGTGTGTCATAGGCTGTCGGATCTGCTGTTATCACAGCAACAACAACCGAGAAGGTCAGACAGAAAAGTGTGAACAGGAACATGAATGAGTTCAACCTGAAAATTAAATAAAAATTACTATTAATGCTGCAATACATGCACACAAACCTGCATAATGTCACATAGCACTGATAATCATTTATGTAAGCTATACAAAATTAACGTGAAATAAAATGACTGGGGAAAGCTACCTACTTAACCATCCGAGACAAAGTAAGAAATTATATTATCAGACAGACTGTAGGAATAACATCATGGACCAAATTCATTGAGAAACAGAAGATCAAAAAGTTTTGTCATCTTGTTAGAATGAAACAACTACCAACATATGTGCTATATATATGAAAAGTTAAAATTCAAACAAATTAGGGTTGAAATACCTCCTCACTATCTGTCAAACACTTTTGATAATTTCTGGATTTTTCCACAATTTTACAAGCCAAGACAAAATTAACACTCTGTCAAAGTTATCATTTGGTAAACAGGAGGTAACTGTGTAAAATTTGGTTTTATAACTTGGCACTCATAACAGAATCTACATTTTTTGGAAAATTAATAAGACTCATACGACGTGAACTCCAGGCACTAATGTTTCAGTGGCAAACCATGGTACTACAAATTGAGAGATCCGCATCGATTCAAGAACATTCCAGAAATGTAAACAGAGAAAATTCATCAGAAAAATTTACTTTATCAAGCTAAACACAGAAATGTATGATAAAATCAGTGCTACAGAGGGTGTGAACAGTACTTCTAGGTCTTTGAGCTTTCTCTACAGTGGCTGTTGAAAGATGCCATTTTAGAAAAATCACACAAAAATTGTATCACACTAATTTAATTGAAAGTAAATCAAAAATTATTTCTCTTCACTGCCCATGCTTAGAAAATGAAAATACTGTGTTCACTAATTCTAGTACAGGTTTATACAAATTCATTTTCCTAGTAAACGAAATAATATTAGAGTGTGTTGACAATTGATAAATCAGTGGTATGTCTAAACATGATGGATTCTGCTGCTGATTGACAGTGACATGTCCAGAAAGAGTTAAAGAGTTCTATAATAATGTGCAAGCACTCTACGAAGGATATTTTATGAAGGATGTGGGTCCTATCATTGAATGAATTTTCATGTTTCAAGAAGCTTGGATTTGATGACATGCCATAGAAAAATAAAGATTAAAAGTGCTGTGATCAATACTACATTTTGGCTAAATCTGCATACACCTGTAAAAATCAAGTGCCAACACAAAAGAAAGTGATGTCACTATATTCAAAACTGTAAGAATAGGGAAATGTTCTCTAAAATTTTGAAGAATGCATAGTTCTTTGCTATATCAGCACAAAATGCTTCAGCAGAAGGACTATTTTCCTTAATCTATACCCATAAGAGAAATCATCTTCATCTGGAGTCAGGCAATTTCACTTGTAAAATTTAATTTCAGACATGTCACATGCAGGCAATTTTTTTCGACATCTGATGCAAAAGAATGACATTCTAACACAGATCAGATCATTAGAAAAATATACAAGGAACATAATTTAAATGAAATTTAATGTTAGGAGAAGTGTCCTCATTCTGGAAGGCTGGTTGGTAGTTGCACCCCACCAGGACATCACATAAGCAGATGAGGATGACCGGTGGAGAGGTCCCAGAAACCCCTTGCTTTGGCTAGACCATATCTATGCCCGGGCTACATTTAGGGCCCCGGGAAGAAGCCAGGGTGGGGCTTCAAATGACAAAAAATTGCATCCCACAAGGGGACGGCTTGACTTATATTAATGATTCTGGGAGATCAAAATACAGCAACCAACCCTAAAACAAATAAATTATACCTACTGGAAACGAAATTTGGCATACTCCTTCCATTTTTTGCGTATCAATAAGCGAACCACAAAATGTGTAATCAGCTCCTGATTGCAAAGAAAGAAATACAATTGTAAATAAAAATATTTTTCAAATCAAAAGTTTGAGACATTTTAGACACACACACACATATACAAACATGGACACACAAAGACAAAGATTATTTACCTTGTAGCCTTCCTTGGATATGAGATGAAGGCAGGATTTAGAGTTGGGTTCAAATTTAGGATGTGATGGTGGCCTCCCTTTCTCATCTGCTTCAAGAATGTGATAATAAATTCTCATATGACTTGTCTGCCCAATCCTGTCTGCCAGGCAGTCAAGAACAGCAAGGGCACTTTCCTGGTAAATATACACAGGCACAGTGCAAGCAGGCAACTGAGTATTAACAGATGAATGTGAATCATGGAAATGAGCATTAATAACAACCCATCAAGAATTACATACTTTAGAACCAGGAAGACTCTTTTTCTACTTCTGCTTAACATTCACTGGCTGTAAACTTCAACAGAAAGTTTTGATTGTCTACTTCTGGATTTTTGTTTTAGTTCAGAACATGAGTTTTACAGACCTGGCTTATCTGTATGCAGACTATTGGTTCCTCACCTTTTAGGAAGATGCACTCTGACTTCAAAGGGACACCCCTAATTAGTTGCCTTTTATACTTGTTAAGGGTGTAAGGCTGGGAATTTTTCTTGTCAGGGGCAAAATAAAACCCTCACCTGCACAGTTTTGGCAACAGCACTAGCCATGTGGCCATAAATCCTCAGGCACAAAGACCCCCTGCCTACACCAAAAAATGGGTAAAATAAATGCAGTAATTGGCAGTTGGGCTGTGATGGGAGCGACATTCTGAAAAAGACCTGCTATAACATCATGGTAAGATTTGATTTGTTAACATAGTCTCTCCTTTAGCCACATTAAGTGCAACTTTGTTCTTTAAGACAGAACATTTATAGGTTTAGCCATGTCATGCTGCTTGGCGAGATCAGAAACATGAACACCATTCTCAAGTTTAATGATCATCTCTATCGTGATGCTAAGAAATAAGTATAACGCAAGGGATTTGACAGGTTGGCAGAATTGGGGAAGTCCCTAGATTGAGAGACAGGAAGTTGATTAGAGAATGGCAAAACACGAGATTGTGTGCTGACCTGGGAACACAAAGTCTGAGGGAATAGCTGACTAGGAAGTCATTCTGACAGGACCCCAGAGACATAGGAGTGAAAGTGGATCCAGAGTAAAATGGATTCAGCGTTGATCCTGAATGGCAAGGAGTGAAAGCTGTGAAGTGGTTCTAGCAAAGCCACGTTGAAGTATAGCTGAGGACAACTGAAGTGTCCTACTGACTGTTGATTGTACCAATCATGTGTGCGTCAGCGTCGACTGTGGCATGGCTGTATACGCTAAGTGCGACAAGTGGCCCCTGCCTAGATGGCGTAAGTGTTCGGCAAAGTGTATTCTTGTCGCTTATATGGTATTGTGAGTAAACATGGAACTATAGTTAATTCTTCTTGGCTTTCATTTAGAGACACGTGGTAGTTTGTCGGAAGAGAAGTCTGCCTCATCTAATGTGTGAACCTGACCCCTGGACAACAGCCTGTGTCGAATGTGTACGAACGAGAGCTAGCATAAAAGAGACACATTACATTCTCCTTCTTCATTTCTACTGAAATACGCTTAGGCTTCTTTACCCCACTGCTGAGAACACTTTTCACTTTCTTGGGAGCTAAAATAAGTGTTTATGTAATGCAAAAAAAGAAAAAGAAACTTGTATCAAGAACAATGCAACGACAAACAATATTCACAGCGTGCAAATCTGAGTGCAAATGATGTTGTTCATTAGCCGAAAACATGACGCAAAAGCCATTCGTGTGTGTTTATGGCCTGAGTCAAAATGTGTTCAAAAATTATTTTTATGGACCGATTTGTTTGTGACTAGCGGCATTGGTGATCCGAGGTACCACTGTATTGTTGTTGAACTCAGTGCTGCTGAGTTGCCTACTCTGGGCAAATCAATGTCATTTTTACATAGACTTGCATTCTGGGAACTGATTCCAGGGATCCACAGAGGAAGTTAGTATCCACTGGAGATGGCTTATCCACTGGAGATGGCTTATCCACTGAAGATGGCTGCAGCAGCTTTCCCTGGCATTTGGAAGAACACAGCAGATGAAGAAAAGATGGTACTAATCTATGCAATAATTTATGTTTATCAATTAGTTAAATAACTTAACTGGCATACCTGCATGCCTCGTTGTAGTAAGTCATGGAGCTTGCACTCTGCCTCATCCTGGTTGTGTGTGATGAACAAATCTCTGACCCTGTCAAGACAAATGCCAGAAAACAGAGAGATTACAAACTGCTTACACAGAACAGTTGAATGGGAGCAGACAACAAGCCAAGATAATGGTGGAGAGATAATTTACATGCAGACCTACAAACACTGGAAATCGCCAGTTGGAAAGAGAAGGCCGGTCATTGAGATGAATTGATGAGGGTGATATCTAGTGCAGTAAAACTCAAGGGCCCAGAATGCTGAAGGAAAAGAAGAAGAAGAAAAAAACGAAGAAGTAAAAGAAAAAGAATACTTTGTCAAGACATCAAAATATTTGCTTGGCTAGCCTCAATCTACCATTATGTTGTGAGAAATGAGAAGAGTTGAACTGCAGTAAAGCTGAAAAAAAATTAAATAAATTTAACTTCAGCAAAACAATTTAAAAAAAATTTATTTTGCGGCAATAATGGTAGGAAAAAATATAATGAATGAAAAAATGGAAATGGGAATGGATCAGCTGAAAATTACACAGCTGCTACACTGCCATAGCTACCTTGACCTCTGTAGTCTATACCTAAACATGACCAAGTCACATTAAATTTGATCTTGCAATCTTCAGCTTGACATGTGTGACCTTTAATAAATTACTGATGTATCTGTGATTATGCTGCACTACCGAGACTCTAATTATGTAATTAGCCTTCAACACTTGACCCCATGTATCATGGAAAGATATAAAACCGAACAAAAAAGAGATCAGCCAGCTTCAAAATATAACAAACACAAACAAAACGTGAATGTTGCAGCTATAGGGCCTTCATCAGCTCATACATAAATCAAATAGAACCACAAGAATACACAAAATCACTTAACCTGACCTGTGTAATCTGACTTTCCCTGTACTTTATGTAATCTTTAAAATCATTAAACATGGACTGTGAAACTTGCCAGGAAGAACCAGGACTTACACATCATGAGGCATGCGATTCACAAGCATTGATCCGATCTCATCATGGCAGCCCGCAATTGCCAGGTGGAACGGAAATTTCTTCTCTTTGTCCCTGACATGAGGAAGAGCATCATTCTCTAGCAGCTCACTCACGACACCCCTGCCATTTTGGAAGCAAAAAATACAAATATGGCTGTATATAATACTTCACAAACAATCTGCAATATGAAAGTTAGCAACTGGCCACATTTTGTCAGTGTATTTATTATTTTGCTAAACAATATCAGTATGCAGATTTAATCGTTTTATTCCTAATTTCTGCTTTATGCCGCTATATGTTGCAGCTGAAAAGATGATAAGATCACTGAGCCTTCTTCTTCTTCTCTTGTGCTCACTTTCTGATTTACACAAACAGAAAAGTTCTTCTGATAAACCTGACTGTTTTTAGGAGTTCCCTTTTAGTTCCATACAACTTTGGGTATAGCGTTGACTCACTAGGCCAATTTTTCTTTTCTTAATGGGCTGTACAAGGGATATTCTTGCATATTGTTCTGTAGTCTGCACATACAGTCCACATCGACACAGTGGTGAACTACTTAGAACGAAGCCTCTGCATATGCTTGTTAAATTTGTTATGACCTGTCCTGAGGCGTAGAATAATGACCTGCCCATGCCTGTCAAGTAAGCGGTGGTTTTCTCTGGCCAGACTCTGATCACCTTTGATAGACTGGATGGACCTTTTCTTCTCATATTTGTTACTTCATTCTCTTGCTGTTCTCATTCTGCCCCTTTCTTAGCAAGTCTATCTGCGGTGTTGTTTCCTGGTATACCACAGTGGGATGGCACCCACTGGAGTACAGTATGCTTTTCAGCAGCCACCTTGCCAAGTTCAGATCTCACTCTTGAGGGCTTGAAGCACTGACAGTGTATCTGTGAAGATGACCACTTGGTGGCAGTCAGAACTGGTGCTGTATAACATTAGGCAGCTCACACTAATGCTAGGATCTCTGCTGCATAGTTGAAACAGAAATCTTAGTGGGTATATTTAATGTGTCACAGTGGTTGCCTGGTATGTAATAAAGATGCCAGCACTCTAACTTTTAACTGGTTGCTGATCCATCTGTGTCAGCATATATCCACGTCTATTTTTCTAGATCCTGCCAAGAGCAGCTGTTCATTTCTGAAGGTCATTAGACTCATCTCCAGCTGTGAATCCTTTGACTGAAGTTATTACCTGTATTGTGTCATTGACTTGCTTCCAAGGTTCAGGGTATAGGGTAGGTTCCAGTGTTGTGGTTTCATGGGTAGATTCTCTTGATACAGTCTTCTAAACCATTTCCCCCAATGGACAAAGCTGCTATGCTTGAGATGCCCCAATGTCAGATCATCTAACCTTTCATTCATTGGGTATGACTGCATACTATTAGACTTCTCCATCTAGATCATAATTTCAATGTCTCTTCTATAGGACAACGGCTGCACTGCAGTTATTTTCTGCATCTCCAGGATTGGTGCAGTTTTGGGTGATCCTGTGTTGAGCCTAAAGGCTTGATTTTGCACTCTGTCTAATGATTGTAGATGGGGATTATTAGCTGTTGACCAAGCTGTTGCACCAATCTTTAAGTGGGGTCTTATTGTTCCATCATAAACTTTCTTTAGGGTTTATCTTTCACTCCCCAACTTCAACCTGCCAGTTTTCTAAGCAGCCCTTGTCTCCTGACCTTCCCTTCTACATTTTCTATATGTTTATTTTACATGAGCCTTATATCAAATGTCACTCCAAGATAAATGGGGAAGCTTTCTTCCTTTAGCGAAGATGTTCCTAGGTGAATACTAGCAGCTTTGTTCCTGGGGGGAAGAGAGAAAAGCATTGTGGATGCTTTGTCTGTGTACCAATTGAAGGCTTGGTCCACCTGGAAGCCAAGGTAATGCTTGAAAAAATCCATGGGATTTAGATCTGCAGCATGCGTCTAGCCTCTAAACTATGGTGGCTCCCAATCAACAGTAAACAATAATACTGAACAGTAAAATAATGCATTTTTCTTTTGCAACAGAAAGCGTAAGAGGCAATTACAGCTGCTAGATGTACATCTCGCCACTGTTTTAAAGTGAGCTATGCTGCACTGTTTCTTCCAGCTTTTCAATTTGTATTTTCACAATCCAAGATTTACAATGCAAACTGCTTTGTCAATTGAGGCTTAGAGTAAAATTCCTAAGAGCTATATACAGTAAAACCTTGTTAAGGGACCCAAATAAATACAGCTTACAGAACACCCTCTGAAACAAACCAAGAATTTCAAATACTCAGGAAGCATAATATCAGCAAAACAGAAGATGAAACTGATGACAGTTGTAACAAAATAAACCAGCTCATTGGGCAAATGCACCAATAATAAGAAACAAACATGCATCAGTAGAAACCAAAAGAGAACTTTATGACACAATCTTCTTGCCAACCCTGTGTTACCTACGAGAAACCTAGAAAACAACAGAAACAAAGAAAAAACAGTTACAATTTAAAGGTGATTCCTGCAAAGGGCTATTAATATAATAAGAAAAGAAAAGATCAGAAACGATGAAATCCGAAGGAAAATGAGGGGTAGCAGCAGCTTTGCATTTAATTAGAAGAAAACAGGTGAAATGGCTTGGCCATATAACATGGATGTCAGCAAACAGTATACCACAGCAAGCAATGATGTACAGACCTGGCAGGAAGCAAAGATAAGGCCGATCATGCAAGCGATGGACAGAGGGAATTAAGTCCTTAGCAATCCCAATAGCACACAAACGCGCTCTTTACCATAAAAATTATTCTTCACCTCAACACCACAAGGTATAAGAGCATCAAGATGAGAAGAGATGACGAATCTACATTCTTTGGTCATGTCATCAGAAGAAGAAAACTGGAGCACATGATGATGGTGAAAAAAGTTAGAAACAACACAAAATCTTACTTAAATCCTTTCTTGACAGCATGATGCAGTGCTGTCTGCCAGTTGGCATCACATAGCGAAGGACTGGCACCTCGGTGCAATAAGGCATTGACAAATATCTGGACCTGAAGTGAGACCAACAGAATGCATGGTTATATTTGCTCACACTTTCTGTCTGTGTGTGTGAAGATGTGTATGAAAATCTGTCCCCATTAGTGACAGATTTCAAGGTTCTGTTTGGGTGGGTTCTGAGGCCCCTTTGTGGGAGAGAAAAAGAACAGACCATACCCCCCAACAAGCATGTTATAAAAGTCGACTAATTAGGGGTTTTCTCTTCGAAGTCAGAGTGCATCTACCTGAGAGACAAGGAACTAACAGTCTCTATACAAATAAACTAGATCTATAAGATGAATGTTAATGCACAACTCAAGTTCTCTAACAAAACTAAAGTCCAGAAGTAGATGTACAACCAGTATACAGAGGATTAACTTGAAGAAGAAGAAGGTTCCGTCTCTACTAGTGGCAGGGTTCACTCTTCTGTCTCTACTAGGCAAGGTTCAAGGTTCTTTCCCCACTGGTGCAGAGTTTAAGGTTTTGTCCCTGCCAGTGGCAGGGTTCAAGGTTCTGTCCCTAATAGTGGGAAAGTTCAAGGTTCTGTCTCTACTAGTGGCAGGGTTCAAGGTTCTCTCCCTACAGTGGCAGGGTTCAAGGATCTGTCCCTACTAGTGGCAGGGTTCAAGGTTCTCTCCCTACAGTGGCAGGGTTCAAGGGTCTGTCCCTACTAGTGGCAGAGTTCAAGGTTCTGTTCCCAGGTGTAACAAGATCACTTCACCAATCTGATAACCCTTAACCATTCAACACACGGTTTAACTTCATGGCTGCAGTTGCGCACATTGTTCATTATAGAAATGCAGTAATTTCACCTTTATCTCCTGGGTCATCTGAGATACCACATGGAGTAGAGCCTTGTCTTTGCTTCCTTCCCTCTTAATAAGTCTGTCAATCACAACCTCTGTCTCCGCCTCCTGTCGACCCACCATGAAGTTTTGGGTCTTCTGGGCAACCTTGAAATCATAAACATATACACTTTTTATACTTAGACATTTGGTTTAAAGACTTTATTCCCCACATGGGTTCTAAGACCCAATTTTATGTGTGTGTGTGTGTGTGTGTGTGGGGAGGGGGGGATAGACCCAGTGTTCCCTCTAACATTTTTTTTTTTAGTTGCGAATCTTTTACAGAATGTCGCAGAACCAACCCCAACAGCCCCTGGCTGTTGTGTGTGTTTTCTAGGCAAATTTATAACCAGCAGTTTGCCATTGTTTTCTGGACGGTCTGCTTTCTTGATACCACTGTCAAAACCAACGCAAGGCGCATGGCCCGCAGCTGGGATCGAACACGACATCCCAGCATCACGAAGCGTTCGCATCAGCTTAGCCACAGAGCAGACGTTCCCTCTAATAAGCATGTCAAAAAAGAAAAGGCAACTGAGTTGTGGTATGTTGAAATCAGATGTGTTGATACTGGAGCCTAGCTATACATCACAACAGTGTGCCAACCATACTTTTAAGGACACACACAGCAGAAGAAAAAAATGTCTCAGTGGTCATGGACATTTTTTCTGTAAATGCACATATTTTTTTTATTTCAAGGCAGAGGCTAGTGGAAAATAAAGTATAATAGAATCAGTGCTTCATATTGACTTTGTGAATGTGCTGGATGTATCTAATCAGAATGTGATGGGGTAGTTAGTATCCATGCACTTGAGAGATGTAACACTTATGGGCATGTAAAAAGTAAGGTAAAGGACCCTTTTCCACACTTTCAGGCGTATTGGGTATATAGGGCTAGACATATATTTATAGACCACTCAGCACTGGGTGGGTGATGTCGTCAACATCCCTATGAGCATGCACTGAATGCTTTATCATAACTTCTGTTAACCAGTAAAGAACATATATATTTGACCACAATAGCTCAAGCTTATCCTAAAACATCTGTGAAAGCAGAGCATCATATGATGTAACAATAAATTAAATAACGCAATAGTTAACATGTTAGTCTACAGATTATCCTCATTGCACACATTGAACCATTCAGTCCACAAGTGCTCAAATCTCCTCCCCAGTAAATCCTGCAGCTTGTAGCAGCTGAAGACACCAGTTCTGTATTGGTTTGTCATTCATCTTTGGCTTCCTGTATAGTGCTCTAGTCTGGCCACTCGTCT